AGCTCAAAGCCGGTTGTGGCAGGGAATCCGGAGCCTCCAATATGCCTCAAATAAGGAAGGTACCTGAAATTATCTTAGGGGTCCTACTAGACTTTAAGGATCTTCCTGAATTTAGGGATATATTGGAGTCTCTGGGAATCAGGAGCGGACGGGACTTCGAGTCCCCCAGGGTCCTAGGTATTGTTATGGGGAATACTTCCCCAAACCATGCTGGTAACTCCTGATGCAGAAACCCTTCACTGTACTATATACGTACTTATTACTAGGACCCTTTGGGAGTTGTTACTATCCGAGGTTCCCCAGTAGACCCTCAAAGAAAAAGAGTGCCCGTTCTCCTACTATTCGGGTTTACTCAAGGGACCGCAGAAAAAAGAAAAAAAACAACGAAACGAGCACTGCACCACCAGGAGACCTAGTAGCCTAGTACCGAAGCTGGAGATTGGTTGAGTTAGGGTTTAGGATCTTAGGTTTAGGGTTCCCGCGATCTAGTTTCAACTGTGCGAGACAAAGCAATATTCGACTATACAGGCTTTGGAATCGAAGCAATATCAGCACTTGTAGTCGCTGCATGATGATTTGAAGGCTCGAAATGGAACACAAGACAGAGGCGAACATCCATGATCCCTAAACCCGAAACCCCAATCCCTGGCTCCTTCTCCTTGCGGCTTGTCCTGAGCAGCCAAGTGGGGAGGGGCCTTATGAAGGAAGCTATTGGCTACTGGGGTAGAATATAGAAGTCATATAGGTTTTGAAGGGTAGGTTATATCATACTGGTCTAGGGATTCTGGAGGGGATATTTGACTACTAAATTTTCCGAGACCGGCTCAACTTTGCGAGTATAGGGTTTCAAGGTTCAGAGTTCAGGGCTTGTGGGGTGCTTCAGCTTCAGCCTGAAACAAGAACGTGAGAAGGCTTTGCACAGATGTAGCAGAAATAGAACCATCAGACGCCGCAAACGTCGGTCGGTTGGGTGCTCGCCCAGCATCCTTTGCAATGGCCACCCAAAACTTAGGCTTCGGCCAAGGTCCAATGTTGAGGGTTCAAGCCCGAAACCGAAAGTATGATTGAAGGATCAAGTGTCGATAGCAGGTCCCGGGTGGGATAGGGAGATTTTCGATCGAGAACCTTCCGAGTGCAAGATCAAAACCTTCGCATTCACAGACCCCCCCAACCAAACCCCCAAAAGAATTTCCTTTTTTTAGGACAAAAAAAAAGAAGCCAAACTAAGGAACCCTGCAAACTCAGTTTTGCTGGGGTCCAGGTAGGGCTTACAGGACTTAGGACCTAGGAGAGATTTTGTGTGCTTAGGGCTTGTGACGGTGCAAGCCAGACATCGCAAAAATATGTATACACACCCTTCGCTCTGACATAACCCGCGTAGAAAAATTGCAGAACCCATGCAATACCCTTGTAGGCCCTTTATGAATACTTTGTAAGAACCCCAGCTGCCGAAGGCAGATGGAAACAACATACCTTTTTAAGGACTGAGGAACCTTCGAGACATTAGGCTCTTTAGGGCCCAGGTCACCCATAAAGGTAGTCGTCGTAGTCGTAGTCGTCGCCCCAGTCGTCCCAGCCATCGTCCAGGTGCAGCGATGCTAGCGGCTTCAAGTTCAAGGGCTTGAAGGTGATGTTCTGCCTCGACTTAGGGTTTCTGGTTTAGGGGTCTAAGGGTTTGCGTGTTTAGAGCCTGTGGTTTAAGGTTTTGGGCTAGGGTTTCTGGTGTAGCGGTCTAAGGGGTTCAGGAATTGTGGTTCAGGGGATTAGGGTTTGCGGTTCAGTGGTTGAAAGAACAGCTTCGTCTGGATCAGTCTCAGCTCGGCTATGAATCGACCAGGATTTGGGTCTAAGATGCTATCAGATGCCATCATTAATTACATGGGGAGATCCCGAAGGACAAATTACATCGACACCGACCGAACAGACCACTGGACTCGAAACAAAGGTCCGCGAGCTGTTGCAAGCTCTCATTACGAAACCTACAGACGACCGTTCCTAAGCCTATCTAAGCTTAACTTGATCCTTAAACCTAAAACACCCTAAAACCCTATACCGCCTAAACCCCAAACATGTTTTAGCTTAGTATTAAGTATGTACCTTAACCCCTAAACCCTCTTCCGCCTACACCCCTAAACCTGTAGCCCCGTTACAATTAGAAGGAGGTGCTTTTAAAGCCTTTGAGACATATAAGTATAGGTGAGATCCTCTTAAGCCCAATAAGAGCAAATATAAAATGTCCGAAAGCCCTACCTAGACTAGAAGGATGACCGAGGAGCAGGTTCAAGCTCAAGTTCAACTTCAGCGGCGCCGTCACGCCAGACTGTTCAAGGCAGTAGGAAGCCACTGGAGGGAAGGAGAGGGTTTAGGGTTGACGGTTGATGGTTTAGGGGGGCAGAAACTTGGTGTAGCTTTGGGATGTGTGTCGATAGTGGATTCTGGGGTTGGTTTCGGCGTTCACATGCTAGCTTTGCTGCGGTTTGCAGCGCTTGACTTTCATGCTTTGGAGCCGGATGACAGTTGTGTCTTGGAGGGACCACTAGAAGCAGCCATATAAACAGAAACTGTGGGAACCTAGCCCCTCTATGCCGGATAGTACCTTCAACAGCACAAGTATAACTGCTGTTTGGGCTCTCAATACCCTCTCGATGCATATAAGCCCCAACAGTCCTAACATGGTTCAGGGGTCAGCAGATAATCAGCCTCCACCCAAAGTGCTACCAAATAAACGAACAGAAAATACCCTGAAATAAACCTGAAACCCTCATCCCGAAGACCTACGAAACGACAGAACTCTAAACCCTGAACCTTCGAGGACGAACCCAAAGGGTCCTAAGTACATATATGGTAGAATGTCGTTTTTTTAAGAATAAGAGGGTTTACGACTATGGTTTGGGCAAGTATCCCCCACGTAGGTACTTAGGACCCCTTGGGCAAGTATTCCGTCTGCCTCACTGCCAGCCGAAGCCATGCTGCCAATTGTCTTGAAGTTCTGGAAGTAGTCTTCAGCTTTGTAATCCTTCCGACCCACATCCCCAAAACCCTAAACCGAGGACACTGTCGGTTTGGGCGTTTCGTCGTTTTTTTGGAGCGGCTGGGCGGTTTAGGCTATGCTAGGAGAGAAGGAAACGTAGAGTCTAAGGTGCAGAAGACCTGTGCGATCACAAGAACTGCAGGATCTGTGGTAGCATGATTTCACTATTGGTATATGTACCACCGTTTTTGGTGCGATTAAACTTTTCATATAGCTAGTAGTCTCTCTAGCAGCGTCGAGCTCTGCTGCTTCCGCTGTAGAGCTGTCACCAGTGCTACCAAACAAGCTCATAGTACCGGAAGGCAAGGCAAAGTCTGTTCTTGGCCGAAACCTTACAGCTTAGGAGCACGTCTGATACAGGGGCTTATAGTGCGAACTCGAACAGGATGTTGGGATATATGATGGTACTATATCTAAATAGGGACTATAAGGTTCCGACCCACATATGGCCTATATATCCAGTTCATCTACGGATGCAAAAGCGCCACTTTCCGCACCTTTCAGCTTCGCACATGGCAAGGTCGATGGGGATGCCATGCGATGTTCTCAAGATCAGGACCACCACAGGATACTCTCGAAGCATGAATAACCATCTGTACTACTCCTTGGGATTTCTGATTCTAAACTTATACTACAAAATGCCCCAACCCTACTTCAATCAATAAGGCCCGTATATGAGATCATTAGACTCATTAGACTTTCGCTGCCTTGCGCACCGTGTGATTTTGATGAGTCCAGGGTGAGGAGGGCAAAATGTTGAGCGTCCTGCAGTCGCGCAATCTGCGGTGGCTGGTACCTAAGCAATGACAAGCGAACAGGCGTTCAGCATGCACAGCTTGTGGGCCCTAACCCTAAACTCTCAGAACCATGATTGTGATGCCTATAATTATGGGAACCCCCGAAGAGCGCCTTCATAAATTGCAGGTTTGCAGACATTGCCATTGACTACTCGACGCATCGAGGGGATCTCGGCTTCGATCTAGAATCTACATCATCCTGACTCCCCAGCCATGAGCTTACGCATGGAAGCCTACGTCGGAAATCCTGCATCTGGTTCCCAAACCTCAATTAAGGAAATATCGAAAGCTTACGGTGAAAAGCTTCAGCAACAACCACCACTATGATTGACATCATCTTGACATCACCACCCATCCCATTGATAATCATCGCCACTGCCACCACCACTTTACCGCTGCTGCCGCCGCCGCCCAAACCACCACCACAACCACCACCACCACAGCCCCGCACGGTCGGTTCACTGTCTAAGAATTAATACCTACAGCCAACAAACTTATGCTGCAAACTTCGAAAACGCGAACCCCTACACCCTCAGCCCTAGTCGCTTTAACCCGAGTACTCGACAACTGAACCCAAACGCCGGGAACCGGAAACCCGGAAACCCTGACTCAACATCCCTATAAAAGCTGCAAGGCCCTGAACGCTGAACCCTCAGCAGAGGAGGCGCGAAGACTTTGATGTGCCATCCTGCTGGCACTGCTTGATGCTCTCCTAAGGCGCAGGAATGTCAGGCTTTTGATTTACGGTTTAGGGTTTCGGGGTTTCGGTGACTTTTCGGGGTGGGATTCGGGCTCAGGGCTTCAGCGTGTGCTTCCATTGGTGTTTTAGGATTGAGCTTTAAATTCAGGGTTTAAGATTATTTCATAATTTGGTGGACTTGTTGCTACGGTGTGCCTGCAGTTGCCATCCCAAACTTCAGCGATGCTTAACAATAAAAGCAATAGTATCACCCCAAACATAGACCACACTTTGCTGGGCTTTGAAGTAGTAACCAGGGAGGAACAAGCAACAACTTCGATTTCATTTTTAACGTATGCTACTCCCAAACCGAGTTTGTACTGTGTAGGTACTTCGAAGCCCTTTGGTTTGCCGAGGCACTATTCGCGGCAGTGCCCATCGCTTCATGCGATATGCCTTGGCTGCGAAAACCCTAAACCCTGAATCCACTCACTCAATTGCAATGGGTGTCGTCGCGGGCGTCAGCATGCAAAGGAGCCGAAAGCAACAGACGCACCCCATGTCCTGCAGCCGCACCCGCCTGACTCCAACCCTGTATCTATATCATATATATATATGTACATACATATGGGTACATGTATATACACATGTAAGTATGTGTGTATGTACATATATATATATATGTACATACATACATATATATATATATATATACATATATATATATGTATATATATACATATATATATATATATATATATATATATATATTTATATTTATACATATGTATGTAATGTGTATTCGCCTTTGTTGTGGAACAAAGACTGAGAGGTCCTTGACTCCTGGACTCTTGCTACAGCAATCGGATACAGTACGTCTACGACGAGGGACCAAGACTTATACGCCCGCCCATGCGAGGGTCTCTGACACCCAGAGATCCCAATACCTCTTAGTTAAGGAATATACCATAAAATATAAGAGGATCCCTAATATGGTTTAAGGTATTTTCCTTAAGTAAGTGCTACTAGGGTTCTCTAACACCTGCCGTTTCACATGCAGCCAAAGTTGCATACAGCACGTCGGAGCAAGTGTTACAGCACTCACCGTCCGGCAAAGCACCATAGCAATCCTTGTCGCACGTGCTGGCTTCGGGCAGGGGATCCTAACCCTACACCGTAAAGTCTGAGGCCCTAAATTACACCCGCCCTGTAAATCCTAAACCCTATCAGAGCTTAGCTTGAAATCACCACGATCCGACGGGTCGACATGCTTAGGGTTTAGGTTTAGGGTTTAGGGTTTGGGTTCAGGCTTTAACTAGGGCTAATTATGGTCGCGATTGCAATCCGCAAACAAGAAGTTTCACGCGCTGAGGCTACTTGTAGCTGCCTGCTGTCTAGCAGCCCCGCAGGTGACGTTGCCAGTGTCGTTGCGGATACTGGGATTCGACCTGGGCGCTTCAAAGTAAGCTCCTTCTCCCATGCTGTATAAATACATATACATTATGTATATCATATCATATCATATTATACATGTTGTATCTCTTTTCTGAAGATTCAAGACTCTGCAGCCCGAAACACGGCTCTTGGAATTCTGACCCCTCGCACCTTGACAGCCTGAGCCTCGAAACACTGCATCACATGCCGCTGTGCAGGGAACTCCAGAAAGTTGGAACATGGTTTCATGGTAGGATACCCTATAACTTACCATAGAAGGGTTAGGATAATCATATTCCAACTTTCTGGCTTTTACCTTACATGGTCGACAGGCTCGAACCCTTGCAATAACCCCAAGGGTCCAAGTACCCAATGGTCATAAACTCTCCCACGTATGAACCTACATAACTACTATCCTAAACACAAGTACCCTATTATTGGGTCCTTTGAACCCTTGCAGCAAGGTTTCCCTGTAGCAGGTTTCGTTAATCCTACAACAGAGACCGTGCAGTCGCAGAAAGACAGCTGCAATCATATCCTTCGTCACAGCCCTTGGCAATGCCGAACTCTCCCCAGAATCTCGAAACATGCCTCGATTGAAAAGAAGCCGAAAGTGCAGGGAGGCTACGCAGCCGCCATGATCTTGGCGGTCTTGGGATCCTTTAAAAGTGGCGGTCATGCACGTTCGGCTTTCAGGGAAAAAGGTCTAGGATTGGATCTAGGGTTTGATAGGGTTTAGGATTCGGGAAGCCTTGTCTAAATCAAATCAGGTTCGGGGTTTGAGGATTAGGTTTCAGGGCTTCTGGTTGACGGCGAAGACGTGCAAAAGACGCATGAAGGACCCTTTGAGCGCTGAGTGTGTCCGATGTTGAAGTCACGGCGAAGCTGAGAAGGATCTGTGACCCGAAACCCTATAACCCAAAATCCTAATCCCTAAAACCCTAAACCATAAACCCTAAACCCTAAAACCCAAAATCCTAATCCCCAAAACCCTAAACCCTCAAACCCTTAACACCAAAGCCCTGAACCCCCGATCCCTGAAGTAATGTGGGGGCCATCATAATTAGAATAGGGTTATTATAGCTATAGTACAATAGACGGTATAACCCTAAAGCCCCTGCCTTAAGAGACTTGTTCTTTCGAGGCACATTGTTGACCACTTCACCAACAGGAGTGCCATCCTTCTTCAGCCTCGCGTGCTCACTGCCATGCGGTCATCTGGTACAGTATTATGTCGATGGTCTGGCAAGAAGCATACACTTTGATTTCATAGTGGTTCCCTCAAGGACCCTAAACCCTCAACACCAACCTTAACCGTAATCCTAAACCCTAAACCTTAAGGAACAGGTCCAGAAAACAAGCAATAACGAGTCCTACTCCAGAACATGAGGGCTGCTCCATGCAATGCGGAATTCTTCATGTTCGGCCTTCCCTGCCTCTCTAATCCACCGTGTTCGGTAGAGAATCCCAGCTCGGACCAGTCCCTCGGAACTCTCTTTCAGTGCAATAGAAATCTGGGATTACCTTGCTGTCTTATCATCGGATCAACCATGTTCTAGGCTCCCAAACCCTATAAACCCCGAACCCTAAAGCTCTGCAGCCCAACCCCAAGAGGGCACCTCTGCTTTAGGACGCCGGTCCGGATGTCCGTCTGCCGGTTGCCCATGGCCTCAGAGCTAAATCTAGGGCCCCAAAAAAGCACATAAGCAAAAATTCGGGTAGGGATATCCCATATAAATCCCCTTATAATGAAGCCCAATAAGGTAGGGATATCCCCATAAAATGCTTATGCTTATGTGCTTTTCGAGTCCCTAAAAATCTTGACTCTAAGCTAAAAAAAAGCTCCTTAGATTTAGGGTGTAGGCTCAGCGGTTTGGGGTTTCGCGTCAACCCAAGCCCAAAGCCCTGAAAGCCTATATAAATGCTAACCTGTAGTCGTTCTGGCCACATGGGGATGTTGCAGCGCTGTTCAAATTGTCTGTGGACAGGAACCCAGACCTTCCAAAATCCCTTAATTAAGGAATATACCCTAAATTATAGTAGGATCCCTATTATGATTTAAGGTATATTCCTTAATTCAGTGATTTTGGAAGGTCTGGGAACATCGAGGCCGGTCTAGGTGCTGCCCAGTTTGTCCAAAGCTGCGACTTCTCTGCTGCTGAGGGTTTACTCTTGAAGCCAAAATCCTATAAACCCTAGACCCTAAACTAAACATCCCTAAACCCTAATCTTTTTGGGTCCCGTAATATAAATAAACCATCCAATCCCCTACATTCAGCCTGGGGGACTTCGGGGTTCTCAGTCTGTATAAAGAATAAAAGCAGGTTGTTTTTGGGTTGGGGTTTATTGTTAAGGTTTGGTTTAGGGCCTAAAGTTTAGAGGTTAAGATTTAGGGTTCGGTGGTGAGGCTTTTAGGGAGGGGAAGTGTGCCGCTTGGTGCTGCCATTTGCGCTGTTTTAGGCTCCGTTTTGCAGGGCATCGATTTAGATTCAACGGTCGAGGTGCCTATGCTTTCCACACACTGTAGAGGCCTGAGAAACTAAGTAGAACGGGGTTCGAACCCCAAGCGCTAGTATTGCTAAGTCTTCGGGCATCTATATCATTTGGCAACTTAAATGTCAAGCACGTGCGTCCACCACACCCGGGAGCCATCAACCCCCAAACTGAGCGTCCTCCGCACTACCACAGAAAAAAGGTTTAGGTAAGAAGCTGCCCCCACCCTGTAATAGTGACCATAAGGCTTATAAAAATATTATATTAGGGCCCTAGTATATTCCTATTATACCACTATTACAGGGTGGGGGCAGCTTCTAAGATTTAGGTTTTTGTTTTCCGGTTTTGATCGCCCTCCCACACGACAAACAAAAAGCCAAGTAGAAGCACCCATACCAAAAAAAAGAAATACCTGAGGCACAGCATCAATACACACCATGGCCTAAAGGAACTAAGAGGTCCTCACAACGAAGTGGCATAGTCATAGCGGACAGAAGATGAGATGCAAGCATCCACACAAGAAGCCGGAGAAACACAAGAAGACAAAGGAACGACAGACTAAAAGCACATGAGGTGCAGGCATCAAGCCACAACAAAACCAATAGTAATAATCAAGGTGGTTCGCAAACCAGGAAACTGGCAACAGATACCATAACCCAATATGGCTGGGAGAGCCGCCAAACAAAAAAGGTAACATAACACAGTTTAAAACTAACAAGCAACGCCGCAGGAAAACAACAAACACACAGAGACAGCTGTAACACACACACACACACATTAGTGAACACATGTGTATCTACATATAGACCTCTTTTCTATACCAACGTAAATCAAAAAAAACTTAACCCTTAGTATCATTATTATTGAAAACAATGCTACACATGGTCTTATCCAAATGAGTATTGATATTGGCACGAATAACTCTATTCAAGCATTTGAATTCGTAGTAGTAATATCAATGCTTAAAGCAAAGTCAGTATCAGTATCAATATCAACACCAATATAAATACTATTGCTTTGATGATATATATATATATATATAGAATATATATATATATATATATATATATATATATATATGCATAAGCATACATACATATATATATACATATATATATATATATATAAAGATATCTGTAACTGGGGTGCAGGCATCTTGGTAGTCCAGACTCAGATCGATGCAGGGGAACTCGTGGATGGTGACGTCCAGGAGGACGCGGATCTGCCTCTCCGGGTTCTACGGTTGATGATGTAAGTCCTGGGGTTCCGTTAAAGGGATCTTGTAGGGTATCTGTAAGGGGTCCTCTAAGGGATCTACAGGGGGTTCAGGGTTTAGGGATAATATAAATCCTGCATTACCCATAATAAGGAAGATACCATAGCTCTCATAGTCTAGGGCCATTAAGGTAATGCAGGACTTCTATCATCAATCGTACTGCTACGCCTTTAGGGTTGAGGGTTTAGGGGTTAGGGTGTAAGGGATTAGGGGTTAGGGTGTTGGGGTTCAGGGTTTTAGGGCCTTTGGGGTTTAGGGTTTTATGGGGTCTAGGGTTCAGGGTGTAGGGTTCAGGAATTTAGGGTTCCGGGTTTAGGGTTCAGGGTTTCCCAGAGACACCAAGGGGCGAGCTAATTATGAGGAATAGACCTTGGGTTTTAATGGGAGCCCTAGTAAGAAATTAAAGGGTTGGGGAGTCTGGGTTACCTGGACCCTAAGAAACCTACCTTGTTAGGGTTCCTTAATATGATTTCAGGGTTCAGGGTTTAAGAGTCCAGGTCCAATCCCTGAAGGTCCAACGGACCCAATAACAAGGCACTTGGTTCCAGGATAGCAGAACTCTTCTGTGAATAGAAGGTAGGCAAACGATAAGTCTAGTTCCGGAGATCAGATTGAAAGAAAGCAGTATCCAGACAGGGCAAACAACAACAACAACAACAACAACAACAACAACAACAACAACAACAACAACAACAACAACAACAACAACCAACAACAACAACAACAACAACAACAACAACAACAACAACAACAACAACAACAACAACAACAACAAAAAGTACAAGTATCCACCCAGAGTCATAAACATAACAGTGTGTGAGAGTATGTTGGTGACTTTGTGAGGTTTGAGGCTTCAGTTCTCCAACAGGTAGGTAGGGTACAAAGACACGGCGGGAGTATTCCGGCTTTAAATCGCTGATGCATACGAATCTCATGCTGCTGGTTCGTACTACTTGTGTCATTCTCCTTCTGATAGCAGTTACCCTAAACCCTAAACCCCTAAACCCTGAACCCTGAACACCTAAAACCTACACTTAATGTTTATTGGGTACTTGGACCCTTACAGAATCTGATCCTACCAGCCTCGGACGGGTCAACTGCATAGGTCCGTCCATGTCCTTCGCAAGATTCATCCGGGGGGTCCAGGGTGGGTTCCGTTGAGGGTTCCTGTAAGTGTCCCTTTAATGTTTAGGGTTTAGGGGTTTAGGGCATCAGGGCTTCAGGTCGTAAGGTTTGGGGGTTTTGGGTTTAGTTAATGCTGCAGGGTTTACTATCAAGTTGACAACTTGAGGTACAACGGGCCTAATTAGGTAGTTTCATGTTAAGTTTAAAAGCTGAAGTGGCCTCACCCTATGTTTCTCGCTTGCCGATCCTCGTGGCCTTAGCCACAATTATGTAACTGTTGGATACGTAGAAGCCCTGGGGGAGGTGAACCGTAAAATACTTGCATGAAGCAGTAGCCCCTAAACCCTAAACCCTAATCCCTAAGCCCTAAACCCAACAAAAATAATCCCTAAGCCCTAAACCCCAAACTTGTGGCAGCGCTTAGACCCGAAAACCTGGCAGACCTGTAACCCACACCCTTAGTGCCTTACTCCACCCCGAACCCCGGGCTTGCAAAAGTCGGTAGCTGTGCTGTCTAGGATTCCTGGAGTCCCGAAAGCCCCACTCCTCAACTCCCTGAAAAACCAGATCTGCCGCCGAAGCTGCGAGATGAAACGCCTGCTTCTTCATGGGCGTGAGGTAGGTGCCAAATTCAGTCAGAGTCAGCAATAGGATAA